TATCACCCCTTCTGCTTCAGAGGGGCAGTTGAAGGCAGCATCCAGAGCAGCGCCTGCTTTTGGCTTAAATGTTGAGGTGTGACCGCCGCCTTGTGGTCAAAACCTGCAGCTGCAAGTGCAGGTGCAGCTGAGGCCAGGTGGTGAAGTCAGTCCTAAAAATACCGTCGTTTTGGCTCTCCAAAATACAGCAACTACAACCAGGGAAAGAAAGGAGACATATTTGACAGCACAGATCAGGGAAAGCAAGATACTGAAACATACTTCCCACTCAGTGTTCATCATATTTTATAGATGTACAAAAAAAAAACATGGTTTGGGGTTAGGGAGAAACAGATTCTCATGAGGAACTCCAGCAACACATCATAAACAAGAAGACGGAGAGGGCTCCTATCCATCCTCTAAATAAAAAATTCAAAACTGTACCATTTTTACCTGTCTGCCATTTTCTCATTTTCAATTAAATCCCTTAATGTAACACACCTGGCCTTTTTCACGGCAGACACTTGTCACAGTTAGAAAAGCACAGGTGTTACTAATGACACTCTGAATGGCTCTGTATTATTGAGGTGTCTATGTATGACAGTGAGTTAGCATACGTGATACGAAGAGCCTGAAGTCTTTTATGAAAAAGGTCTAACTGATCTACCCTCAGACAATGAGTGCACATGACTGAAAAAGTAACTTCCCTTTCTCAAGTTAATCACAAAAAAAGCTTTAATTAGCCATGTTTAAAGCACAATTTTAAGTGAGCAGCTGCAAAGTACAATAAAACTTTTCACATTCAAATGATAAAAGAAGAGACCAGATTTGAATTGCTATTGCCTCTGCTTCTCTGAAATACAATATGTCACAGGACTTAGACAGCTATGAGGTATTAGTCCTTGGAGTCATTATTTGGCATCTCCATTCGTCTTGAAAACTCATTGTAACTGGCACAAGCACAAAATAAACATCTGTCTTTCATGTTGGCAGCAGTAGTAAATTTTCTTCCAAAAAAAAAGAAAAAAAGGTTGTTAATCCCTCCTACAGGATATATTTGGCTGAAATGCAATTTATCATCCCCATCAGACTAATTTAGAGGGATTCTCACCAACATTGTTTGATTACCACCTACAGTGTTAGCGATCAATGTCGAGAGAAAAACCTCACCTAACCTCGCTCTACTTTTTTACTTAAAAGTAAAAAACTCACGCACTTTTTAGAGGGGATGCACTTTATATAAATGTACATTATTAGCCTTTTAAAATAGCATCTTTACAGTGTGTTTTTGGGGCCTTTCATAGCGCAGATCGTCCTCGGGGTTACTGATGACCTGGGCCCATATTTATCAAACTGCTTAAAATGAAATTTTTGACTTCAGAGGAAGATTAAAAGAAAATCCTTCACTTTTGTCCTACTCACAAAAGTACGAGTTTAAGCTATTTATTGAAATTCTTACAACGGAAAAAGGTCTCTCAGTTGGTGTGTAGATCATGCTCCAGCAGCAACACCCAGCCCCCCCCCCGTTTTTATGCATACATATACTGTATGTATGCATAAAAATATAAAAAGTATATATTCAGGAAATAAAATACTCTGGATATAAAGTTATGGATGTTGAAAAAGTATGTCTGACAAGATGTGTGATAAAATAAGCTAAAGCTACTTTTACTAGCTTTTCGGAACTTTTTGACAACATCTCATGGTCTTCTTCAGCAGCACCTGGCTCAGGTGTCATATTTTGTCACACAAAATGTTCAAGAATGTACTAGTCAACCGTGTGTTAAAAACATAGATTAGCTGAGTTTACTAATAGATTAAAAAAAACATTGTATGAGGTGAAACTTTTTTTTTTTTTATTATTCATGTTACATATTAGGTGTGTCAATGCAGAGTATACATGTACAAACATAATTTCTCCAAAAATACATCAAACTGAACATGGACTTGACTACTAATCAGAAAAAGAAGACTACCTCTCCCAAAATAAAGTTTGTTCCTCAATGTTGATGTCTTTATTTCCTCCTATTTTTGTTTTAAACTAATCTGGTTGAGTTCCACCTCGAGTACAACCTATAACAAGCACTTGACGGGTATAGACATACCATAGAAAACACACAAATACATTCATCACCATCGCCTAGAAAGGTTCAACACACCCCTTCCTAATAAACTACAGTCAAATAGCCACTGAGGAGGATGACGAAAATTGAATGCAACAACATTTCACTGGCCTGAAATGTACGCATAGGTGCAGGAGATAATTCAACAGAGAGGTCTGTATTGAAATAAAATCTGTGAGTTTTGCATTGGTTTGATTATAACAGTATAAATGCTGTATTTGTCTCTTTTTTTTTTTTGTTCAACTAAACCTGCAATACAGTCTTTCTTCAAAGATAAAACTGACAAATGTATATGTTGTGTACGTTTTATCGAACAGATTGCTGAAATAAACCTCTGTATAAAATATAAACTCTGAAACTTGCACCACAGTATTCTAGATTTATGTAACCTGTTTGCACAAAGATAAAATCCAACTTCAGCGCCCCTCTCGCCTCTAAAAACACATCTGAGAAGAAGGGACATCATCATCATCATCATCATCATCATCATCATCATCATCATCGTCATCAACACTGACCATGCTGCCATGTTGCACCTTTCAAATTACATACTGTTGGACTCTGGAAGATACTACGGGTTTGAGTTAGGAGTCGGGGGGAGGGGGGCCAATCAGTGTCTTCTCTACCTGTACTGTAACTTTGAACACAAGGGTTGAACCCCCTGCGACATGAAAACTGAACAGCAGCAGCAGAGTGGCTGGACCTTCAGCTGATCTTTCTGACATTTAACACTCATCAAAAAACAAAAAGCACATTCTTTCAAAAATAATTCCCATCCTGATGACTTCAAACAGACGTTTCAGTAACATATAGGCTATATTTCTTTTGTTGTCGTTGTTGTTGTTGGTTTGGAATGTACAGTTAGATCACAGTCCTGATTAAAAACCTCTATTCAACATCGTAACTGGTCGTCATTTACCCACGTGGTTGTATCTGTCAACTCACAAGGAGCCATCGTCTTGTTTAGTAGAAATATGGCCTCGTTCATCTGTCGTCTGATTGACCAATCGGCAGGTACACAACCCATATAGGCACTATGCAACCACGTCAAAAAAATAAAATAAAGTTATTCGATCATAGCAATATATTGTGAATATATAATTCTATCTATAAAACAAAAGCCCTCTTGTGGCTCCTATTTCTAATACATATAATAGTCTAAATGTAAATTATGTATGACAAAATCTAACATAACAAATAAGTAACCTCGTAATAACATGTATACAATCTTTTATTAACATACTGCCATGAGAAAAGATACGAAAACCTCCAGAGAATTTGTTGTTAATGGAGCCAAAGTAAGAAACTGACATCTGAGTAGATGAAAGGCTGGGAGAATCTAGGTGAAATCCTTAAACTGCCACTGTTACAGAGTCCTTAAGCAAAGGCATAAACTACCTTCTGTGCAGCCAAAAAAAACTGTAACACTGGCAGCACGGCTCTGTCTCTTTCTGGCCAATAAAAGGTTACCGCTTTTTCATGAGCAGCCATTAGCCGCCACCCAGCTGTCATCGTGCCTCTCACTGATGACGGCCCATTCATCACTGCTAATCTTCTAGGTTCATTTTCTCACTGAACTCCACGTGAGCACTAACCATCAGTTGATGAATGAGCAGTTATAAAAGCGAAGGCTGATGGAAGTATGGCGTTGGCTACTGGTTGTTTAGCTTGCTCATCCCTTGGATATCAACACTGAATGCAATCGAAAGCTTTGGTTTTGAATATAATTTTTCTTGTTACATTCAAAAAGAACAAACAAGTTAAATACCCGCTAAAAACTAATTTAGTGATATGAGTCAGGTCATTTAGTTGTCTTCATGTCTAGACTATAATTGCACAAAATGTGGTTGGAAAAGTGAACTTTTTTAGACACCTGGTTTACAGATAATCAATGAAACCACTGTAGAATTTAAAAGATTATAATCTTAACATAATATAGTCATTAAAATGCTGAAAAAGTTTCAAAGATTGTTTTTTTTACTTTTTCACAAAATGTTTCTAACCTCCACTTCTTTCCATCCTTTGACCTGAAAATCATTAAATCAATGCGTACTGAGTACTTGTGTTACACAATTAATAATGTAATTCAAAGTCATTTTGTACTACAGATCACATCGAATCGGAAATTGTTTTAATTTTAAATAAAATCAAAATTTATTTTTTTAATATTATCATTATTAGAGTTCCACGTTTTTTTTATGTTATATATTTGGGCATTTTTGCCTTTATTCTGATAGTACGGGGAGAGATAGACAGGAAAGTCAGGGAGAGAGAGGGGATGACCTGCAGCAAAGGGCCGCGGGTCGGACTCAAACCCATGGCTGCTGCGGTTTGGACGAGGCCTCTACCAGGTGAGCCACTGAGGCGACCCACAGTTCCACATTTTGATAAATATGCTTATTTGCCTTCTCATGTCTGTATGTGCATTGAATCTGAAGCTACGGTTAGCTTAGCATAAAGACTAAGAGCTAGGACTTTTTCATGACCAGCCACAGTGACTTACTCGAGTCCTTTCCGACAGAGAACCTCTTATAAAAACATAACTTGCCATTCTTGCACTTGGGTTTTTATATGAATTAAACAACCAGCTTATATAACACTTTAGAGGCAGTGGTAGATGGATTTCTTTTTACCTTTGGCAGAACCAGGCTAGTTATTTCTTCTGCATCCAGGCTTTATGCTAAGCTAACTGTCTCTCATGAGAGTGGTATCAAATGGTTATTAGAGAGTGAATGAGCCTATTTCTCAAAATATCAAACTGTTCCTTTAAATTAGCAGCATGCTGGCTGTCTGACATGACAACCAGTGGAAGTTTACCGTTTTATTTGTGTATAATTTAAATTAAAGAATTAGAAATTGAGCAGTGAAAAAGCAGTCATCTTAGGTTCTTGCACAGTACTGTGTATCAATATGTGAGTACACTTAAAGACATGCTCTGGATGTGGCCAACACAAATCATCAGGAGGTTTAAATACTTTCTCTCATCGCTGTAAAACATGATAAATGCAAAGGCATATTCCAAAGTTAACAGTACAAATATCAGAGAAACACTAGCAAAGAGGGACATTTAGTAACGAGTAGTGAGGTTATAATGAATAGAGGTGATACTATCAGAGCAACCTGGATTTTGCAACGTGTAGAGATTTTTTTTTTCCTTTTTGTTTTGTTTGTACTTTAAACACTGCCACATATTACATACACAGTATTCCTGTGGCAACTGCAAAACAGTCAGTGCGTCTCGTGTTTGCTCTTCGTCTCAGTACAAACTCACGTTCTCCCACTCCACAAGGTACTGAACCTTCCCGTCTGGTGTGACACGTCTCGCCAAGATCCTCACTGCCTCCCCTCCACCCCAGCTCCTGGCCACTGTCCCGCTGCCACCTCCAACTCCCATCCCCCCTCCTCCACCTCCACCGCCACCTCCTCCCCCTCCACCTCCACCTCCACCTCCGCCTCCTCCTCCTCCTCCACCTCCACCTCCGCCTCCTCCGCCTCCTCCTCCACCACCTACGCCACCCCCTCCGCCCATGCCGGCCTGGTAAGGGGGCAGATCACGTAGGATGACGGGCTCCAGCTGCTTCTGGCCCGGCTGGTGTTGGTGCTGGTGCTGGTGGTTGTGTTGGTGGCTGTGATGGTGCTGGTGGAGGTGGTGGTGGTGATGGTTGCCATTGGAATTGAGGGGGTACGGGAAGCACGGCGGTGGTAACCTGCAGGTGTCCTCCACGCTAGGAAAAGAAATAAAGAAGAGCACAGGAATCAGGAACAAGCACTGATTCACAAGCGTACTGCAATACCATTCACTCACTAGAAAATACTATTGTAAATAAAAACATATCCTTGGACCATGTACAGCCTTAAGTATTTGTCCTCACTAGCAACATATAAAGTAGACTAAAAGACCACACGAGAAAAGAACGTAATTAATATTTTTTTAATAAGCAATGAACCAAATATACTTGCTAGCTTAGCTTAGCATACTGCCTCTCAGTGCTGCAGAGCATTTTAGCATCTTTTGGGTCAGATTTGGTTTTATGGCTGCAATTTTACAGTTTTGTCTCTCTCTCTCTCTCTCTCTCTCTCTCTCTCACTGCTGTCATCGACCTTGTTTCCTTTGCTTCAGCTCTAAATGAAAAACACTGTACACTACCTGCTTAGCACCAAACACCAGACTTGAAATGTAAAGTGATTAGCTTTGTGAATATACTGGTAGATTTAGCAGCTAAAAATCCACATATTTCCCTCAGTCATAGTTGAGGACCAAAAACAGAGCTAAAAAGAGAGTGAATATTGGACTTGAGGCTACAAACAAGCCTCCAAATTAAAGCTAATGTTGCTACATGTCTGCAGGCGGTATAAATTAGCAACTGCTTGCTAACACGTTCCCCATACCAACTTTACAAGGTGATAATGATGTGTGTCAGTGTTGTGCTTACAGCTTGTTGCTCCATCTCTCCAAAAATCAATAAATGCAGTTTTAACCTGAAGTAACTCAATCATGAAATATATAAAAACTACTCCAAACATGAGATATACTCCTGACTGCTGATGCTGCAGCACTTGACAGCCGTAAGAGATCTGTTGATCGGCATTTCAATATGTGACGGCATCACCAGAGAACTCAAAGAGGCCAAAGTCAGTGGGGAAAAAGTCCTAAATCATCTCATGTGTCTAAACAAACAGTCATGAAAAATTTTGATAACATAATCTGATTAGAGCTGAAACTCATCGGCAGGGACATACAATATGCAATGTATATGTAGCGGCTTGACAAATGCTGCTACACGTGCTATAATGGTGATAATGGTGATTCAGTAATACTCGAATGTGGTTAACACGACACAAACCAAGGATGCTGAAGGTACATTCAGATGAGCAACTGTGATTTCCTCACACTTCTTATTCTGTATATGGTGAAAAGGGTCTTCAAGAGCCAAGGCTGAAAGGGACCAACTAGAGGGTCAGTTGGTGCTCCAGTACAAGCAGCTGCAGAACATCTGATACTTTTGTCCATGACTTTATGGGTAGCCTGTTAACTTGATTTTGAAATTGTAAAATGGAACCTTCTGAGCTACCAACAGTAAAATATTTGCTGGATGAACAGAGCAGCATGACTCTGGATGGATATCATAATGAACTAAATTTCAAGGGAATGAAATTGAGAAACTTTTTATAGATTAAATAACCAAATATGAAAGTAAATCCAATATCATTTCATAATCAATATCTTTATGTGGCCCAAAGACCAGCCTTGCATGTTATTATGTACATGTCTAGCAGAGTTGTGGGAGATGAGGACGAGAGAAACCTGTTGTAGTGATGGAGATTCCTGGAGAGCGCGGTATTTCCATTGTAAGTGCTGTGGTACAGGGCGTACATCCGTTTGGGAGGAGAGCTGTGGACGTGATGCACAAAGGATACAGCTTCAATCAAAATTACATTTTCATCCAGCTGTGATTCAAAACAGTAGAAAAGAGAATAATCTCAAGGTTTATTGACTCATGTTTTAAGATATAGTATCTCCTGCTGAGACTTCTGCCCTCACAACAATACACAACAGAGGAAAAAAAAAAAAAAGTTTGTTTTGGTCACATCATTCAAAAATAAATGACCTTTGAAAAAGTTTTTATTGGAAATAATTTCTACTGAGGAAAATAATACCACCTCCATCGCCCCGGGGGGGGTGGGGGGGGGGGGGGGGGGGGTGGCAGAAGTGGAAAACTTGCAACATCTGCACTTACAACAAATCTATCTGCATTATATTACCTCCTAGCACAGGAAGCAGGGGGGCTTCTCGCCTCCAGGTGGCTATGGAACGATATTATCACAAGCATCAAGAGCTCTCCTGATGGTTTCCTATAATATTTTGTATAGTGTCCCATAGTATTTCGCAACATGTTTCTTGTAATGCAGGTGGGCTGACCCATCGGGCTGACCTATCAATAATGTATCACCACAGAAACCAAAAATGGCACAACACACACCCCTTACCTCAAATTAAGCTCCTCCTCTGACTTCCTGGAGTTGTAAAGGCTGGCCCCTCCCATGTAACCATGGCAACATGGCAGCAGCTCAATGGGGTTGGCAGCAACTGGAGGTGGACAAGCCTGGGCACAGGAGAGACACACACACAGATCAGCTTGTGTATGGATGCCAACATCATCACAGGAGTCAGTCAAGCTCTGATACCTCAGTGCTAACTCATGCGTAAAGTTAATTCTGCATATGGAACGTCCAGTTGTCCAATAAGTACAATTACATACAGGTTTACACATTAAAAATCGGACAGTAAATTATTAAAACTGACAATGATATACATTTAGTTTATTTTTTGTCTTAAACTAAATGTATATCATTGTCAGTTTTAATCATTTTAATCATTTTTTGTCTTCTTCAAAAAACAAGAAGCAGCTTGAATTCCATGTTCGTGAATTGCCCGAGGGCAGAAATGGGCAGATATGCCTATAAATCCACACTAATTGCATCAATGGCTGTGAATCACATCGTGCCGAGGTTCATCAGACACAGACGTAGGAAGGCCTGCCTGAGCGTATCACCTTCATTGCACATTTCATGGGGCTGACTGGTTGGTGAGGCAGCTCTCTCGACACACCGACTTACGACCCATGAAAAGTAAAAACATCAGAGCATCATCAGAGCCATCAGTCACTAAAGACACCATGTAGGGGTGGACGCCATGCAAAGGTTTTTGCATTTCTCATCGCTGGACTATGACATATGGCATCACCCTCTGCCATTATCATTCCCTTCTCGAGCAATAGTATTAGGATGGGAGATTATTATTCAGTGGCCTTAGTCTGCGTCTGTGCCTTTAAATGGATGTGCTCTGTCAATGCTGCACTGTCAAGGTGCCAGCGCCACCTGGCCAAACTGTAATCGACTGCAAAGTGCATTTGGAAGCGATCCCAGGCTACGCATATCAGCATTCCTTCCCATCTCACTTTCCCCACTACAACGAACCTGCTCCTCCAAGAAGGACGGAGATTAGCATCAATCAGAGGGGCACAATGGGGCCTGGATGTGCCAGAGTGAAAACGAGTGCTCCGTGGAGCGTATTGTTCCAGGATTACTGTACGTGCACATACACGTATCAGAGTGATGTGTAGGAGGACGCAGCACAATGAGCATTCACGGTTAAGAATGCTGTGTAAAAATAGTAACTGCCACATGTGATGTCGCCTGTTTCAGTGTGATCCGCTGGGAATTGGGTTTGATGATCATGATAAATGCGCCGCCGAACTGCAGATGTTGATGAAATACATGAGCGGGTTTTTGTGCAGCCAAGTTTGTATTTGAATTATACATTTTAACCGAGCTAAACACACAACAACACCGCGTCTCTCGCACGCCACTCTTGCCCCGACCATAGACTCTAAAGCATCAGCAGGCATTAAACATACAGCAAGAGAGAGAAGAAAAATACTGAGGCACTGAGCTGCACTGGGTGTTAAAAGACATGCAGACTGATTTAGACTGCGAAATGAAGCTTCATCACAGCGCCTGACTGACAGGTTATTTGGATCACAGAGAGCTGTTTACCTGACTGCATAAAAAAAGAAAAAGAAAAAAGGAAAAAAATAATTTCAGAGAGAGGTTTTTTGGCCCAGACTACAACCCCCCCACCCACCCCACCCCACCCTCCCCCCACCCTAGTTTTGAGGACAAGAGGCCACTGACCTGTGTCTCTATGATGCGACGCTTTGATTTACGTGACTCAGGCCCCCCCACTCTCCTCTGGCAGGGTAGTGACAGCGGGCTGAAGCGAACAACAACAACACATAAATTAATACAGAAACACACACATATAATCCCAAAGTGCAATGTTTAGTTTATTAGTGTGTCTCTCTAAAGATCTACTGAGAGGTGTAAAACACAAGGAGCTCAGAGCGGTGAGGTGATACTCTGAATGATTGTTATATATTATATTAGCAACAAATTTTCAACTTTATGAGCCTAAAACATCATCAGCAGGGAATTTGAAAAATATGAACGGCATAAAAAGATAACACAGACATAAAACACTTCTTCTCTACAGGTTCTTCTTCCCAAAATCCTCCTCATTCCCTGTCAACTAAACTTGTTTATGAAAATGAGACTTGAGGTCTAAAACCCCCCTAGAGGCTGAAACGTCTATTACAACCAACGATTGGAAAAAGCTGCATGGAATAGACAACGTATTCATTATTACACTATAATTAGAGCTGTACAAGTAGTAGGAACTTCAATGTTTATTTTGTCTTGAGGGTGATGCTAAAGAAGAAATCATGAAGTCATTAAAATCAAAAGGATCCATCCTCCTATTGGCATGAATTTGTTCAATAAATTGACTCCGGCCACTTCACTGTGAGGTATCTTGTGTACAAAGCTGACATTTTGGCCTGAGGGTGACACAAAAAGGAAAGCTTATGTAGTGTCTAATATAAAGTGGGTTTGTCTTCTGAGGAGAATTAATGTGCTTTGTGAATTTTATTACAATTTTCCCATTAGATTTTGATATTTCTTTTGCAATTCTCTGTGTGTTAATTTTGGCCTGATGGTGGTGCCACAGGATCAAAGACATTAAGATTCATAAAATGCCACAGCACATTGAGCCAAAACCTGATGTTATCTCAGTGTTTTGTTGTACAAAAATGGCAATTCTGCTGGAGTGTGGTAGTAAAAGGTCATAAAATATACAAAACAGTAAAGGTTCTTCTGTAGTCCATGGATGTCCATGGACACTTAAGAATAACTCACTTTGTTTTATACTCCGACACTGATGGATATCTATTATCTATTTCATGGCAATCTTGCCTATAGTTATAAATATCAGATTGTGGACAAAGGCATTGAATTGACATATTGATTGGTCTACATCAACATATTTAGCCCTTGATGTCAATAGGAGCAGGAGAAAACCTTTTGGCTCAGGAACATAGCTTTTGTCTAACCACTGACTATTATATGAAGAATTCCAGATTCTATACATTAATGTTGATTCTTCATGTGTTACATCCTTTTATATTGTCACTTTAATCTCGTTTTATTGTGTTGTGCTGTTGCCTGTGTGTTCTTATTCTCTTGTTTAGAAAAGTGCTTGATGCTTATTTGTTTTCAATCCACTATACTGAATTAAAGGCACATATACATGCATAAGCATATAAAGTCTGAATGCTTGTATCAAGTAAAAACATAGTAAAGGAGACATCTTTAAAAACGAATACACTGATTCTGTACTTAGTTCGACGTAGCGTAACCCTAACCTGTCTATTTGTTGAAGTAAAAAAAATAATAATTCACTCCAGTCAACCATTCACTGTCTCTTGCTGGCAACTAGAAAGACTTGTCACTTTAAAAATTACTGAAAATATGTATTAATGGTTTTTACAAAAGCACCCACCCCCACCCCCACCCCCCACCTCTTTAATTCAGTCTGAATAAGCAGCAGCTAAATGCTAAAAATGATTCAAAATGAAAAGAGTGTGTGTGAAATCTGCAAACTACAGGAAGCGTGGATACACATACACACACACACACACACACACACCCACCTGCAGATCTGTACATACGTACCATGGGGGGGGGGTAACTCTTTAAGGCAAATATGAAGACACTGACACTTTCGTCGGCATATGAAAATTGCAGTCCTTTGATTCCTAGGTTAATTGTTCATGCGCAGTGACTATATACCCTGTGGGACTCCAAGACCTCGTATTGAGATAAGAGCAGAAAAGAGAGATGCTGTCCTTACTCTGACCTTCTCCGGTGTGTGATGTTGATAGGTGGGTCGGTGATGAGGGGAGACGAATCGGACGTCAGCGGAGGCGGGGCTCGTACCTGAAGCCCGAAAAGACACTTCTTCTTCTTGATCTCCTTTCCAGAGACAAACCTGGACGACGGCAGAGACACAGCAGCAGTGAGCCCGGTCTTAAAAATGATTATCACATTATGAGAGTGTTTTCTTCATTACTTGTCTCTGATGCCAATAAAGAATTTAAAGTTGTGTAACAAAATGAACTTATTCACCTAATGAAAAAGTTGGCTTGGGAACATTTCAAAGGTAGTGACTGTGTAATTCAGTATATGTAATTAGAGCAGACTTTGCCTGGAGAAATTTGCAGTTTTGTAATTGCAAGGTACTTTGCAAATTTTCAATGAAGACCAAACTAAAAGCAATTAGGCCTCTAGACTGGATATTGTGATTAAGTACCTATGACTTGTGTCCTCTTCTAACAAGACCAAATAAGCACCAAAGAGTGTTTAAATTTCATCTGGTCTAATTGGCAGTTACATTTTAGTCGCTCTTTATTCAAAGTCACACATCTCCCCTCGCTCAATTCAACCTGCATGTCCGACATCGCCGACTACGAAGCACTAAGAAGACTCCTCTATTCATGGAGTGCTACTCATCAATCCAGTCATGTGTGGTCGGTGTTTATTCTTCTCATCATATGCGATGACTTACCTGTCCTTGTGGGAGTTCAGAGCATTGAGGAGATTGTGACAGCGGTCCTGCTTTGGCGTGTCAGAGAGCTGGAGGACAGACGGGAATGAAAAATCAAAGGTGTGTTTACACAGTCAACGGACATCAGACAGAAAACCTTTAATGCATACAGTCATTTTCTTTTATAGTGTCTGACAGCAATAGTGTTGATATGGAAAACTACTTGTTGTGGCTACATGACTGAAAAACTCTGCTGTTATGTGAAAACAGAGCAAATAATACATTTCAAAATGTGAAAACAGCTTAAAGTTAGAAATCAAAACCTCAGATACACGTATAGAAAATGCTCAGAATAGTTAGTCATCTTTACTTTTATCTTCCGGTTTGTAGATGTGTCCTAATGTTTGCAAATACTGACAGTGTCCTAAATCAGTGAATCCCAACCAGGGGGGTACTTACTTATACCCAAGGGGACATGTGAAAAGTCCACACATTGGTGGAAAACAAACAAGCAAATAACTCTGATCTACAGTAAACTGTACTGACTGCACAGTAGAACCCTCCCTCCAGTCTTAGCCAGCTGCAATAACCTTAACACCACGTGCTGGCATCGAGAGCGCAAGAAAACTAGTTAGCAAGCGAGCGGAAATGTTGAACTAGTTCACTGAAAGTAATGGATAGTTTAAACTGTGTGAACGTTACCTGAATAAAATTATAATTTTTTTTTTTGACATTTGAAATAGCTAAAAGTAATGAATAAATGGATGAAACTGAAACCTTAAAGGAACGGGCACACAGTTGAAACAGCTAGCTAAAATGATTGGATAAATGGTTAATCTAGTTAGTTAAAAGTAATTGATAAATAATTGAAATATAGTTTAAAGTATTGGATAAACAGTTGACATAATGAGCATAATGACACTGGAAATAGGCTGATAAAAGTAAGCTAAAGTAAGCTAATGGAAGCTAATGGAAGCTAATGGAAGCAATGGATAAAATAGCTAATAATTGGCTGAACTGTCCAGCTGCAAATGATACTGCAGTAGTACAAATAGAAACTGGTCCAAAATGGTCTTATCAGCTGTATAAAAACTATTGTAGCAATATTTACTTTAATATGAGTGTGTTAAATGATGTCCACTTTAAAATCAATTGAAATGAGCACATTTGCAACACAACAGATGGTGAGGGTGCCTGAGCTCATCTGACAGGACTGTGGGGGTGAGTCAGGCAGAAAAAAAAAAAAGGGTTGGGAAGGGCTGTCGTCGATCATTAAAACATCTAATTCTTTAACTTCTTCTTGTTCCCCTTTAAGCTTACGTAGAGGTCATACTTTTTTTAACTTTAAATTTTACTTTAATAGTGGTTAATAGGATTTATGTCTCAAATGCATAAAGGCTGGCAGCATTTCACATCATTTCATCATGGTGCTTAAACAGGGAGATATCAATACCGCGCCTAGGAGCAACGAGTCCCAATTCTCATTGGTGAAGGACAGGATTTCATGGTCAAAATCAAAGTATTTCCTCTTGCAGCACAGCGAGAGATGGTAGAGCACTAAATGAGCCAAATCCACCCTGCATTAAAAAGAAAAGAAAAAAAAGAATTAGATAATAAGAAAGAGGTCAAATACAAAACAAAGATAAAAAAATGAAACAGAATTTTCAGAATATTTTTAAAAATTTCATGATATAAGATAAATATTTTCCAACATTTGTGAGCCTATACAGATATACCACATTTTTCTTACATACTGCAAAATCGGTCTGTGTTGTGTTATGTGAACTAGCACTACTAACACTTCAAAGTGACTTGACATCAAATGGACTTGTCCTTTTAGAAGTTGAAGAAGAAAAATGAGAAAGTAGAAGTACGTCCCAATGTTGTTTTTCCCAGCACTGTCAAATAGCTACTGTGTAAAACTTTTGTTATGTTTTGTTGGAAACATGTCAGTAAAGGTGATACTGCTAACATTACCAGGTCATGGGTAGTCTTTGGATGGTCTCTGGTCCCTTCGTACATACAGAGCACTGGAACTGATAAAACCTAAAACAGATGCATGAAAGAAAAAAGGCAGGAAATCAGAAAGGTGTCATGTAACCCTGAAAAATAACTTGTCTTTTTTGTGTTAAGTCCAATGTTTTCATTGTCACTTGCACAGCCAGTGCTTTTTGATTGATTTTTTTATTTTACCAAAACAAGTATATTTTCTATCTTGAAGACTTCTTATCATGTCAAGTCTTTCATGCTGATTTTTTGTCTTTGTTTCTCTTTGAGGACCTTCACACTTCTGCTTCCCCTTTACTTTCCTCGCAATCTATATATGTCTCCAGATATTTTACCATATAAATCAACCCGGGCTGAAAATAAGTGGACAGGTGTATCTGTTCCACTATAATGACGTTCTGTTGTGGGTGACCCTGAAACTCGGCTCATACCACAACAACATTGTGTGCATCTGTCCTTCTGTATGCGTGTGTTTGCAGAAGGTCATTGGGAGAGATGAAGCGCAGACACAGTATGACGGCAGCACATGCTTACTATTCCAACTGTGAACTCAGTCTTCACTCTTCCTCCATCACCTGCTCAGCAGATGTTGTACCAATCCGGCCTCACTCTCCCTGACTGTCAATCTAAATCTAATCCCTCCTTCACACCGCCCAGCGCGCACCTGGCCGCCCTCCTCCCTCCCTCACTCACTCAGAAAAGGTTCGGCAATAACACGGTGTCAGGGTGGGTGTAAAACCCAGTCGGCTAACACAGATGGTTAATGACAATAATAACTTAATGGATGGATACATTTTATTACACGCATGAGCCTATCAAACTGCACCGCGATCAGCAGCTTGCATATCCGCCCAGCATCATATCTGAACTGCTTCAGTACCGGAGAGATGATACGTCTGTCTCTGCTGCCTGTCACTGTCCCTCTGCTCCGAGTATGTGAGGAGCTCTTGTCCTTGTGGCGCGAGTCAGTGAATACATTAACATGCGCACTAATAATTTAGTCTTAAGCCAATTAAAGCAGTTCTCTGACAAGTGAAGCTGTCAAGTAGACGTCTTCATCTGATTATCTTCATTATCAGAGTGAGGTCTACTGCTGAGACGATTCATCTACACAGGAAATTTATTAACAACAACTTTGATAATCGATTAATAGTTTTTTCATCAAGTAAAATGGTTCTAACTTCTTAAACGTTCTGTTTTGTATGAGTGTAATCTGAATATGTTTGGATAAAACAAGCAATCTAAAGACATTACCTCTGACTCTGAAAAATTGCGTTTGGTGTTTTTTCATTATCTTCTGACATTTTATAGAGCGAATGATCAAAGAAATTGTCAACCTATTATTCCAATTATTATCCAGCCTAGTAAGTTTGAAGTTGGAGTACATATATACACAAATATATATATGAAAACCCATTTAACACATCTGGGTTTCTGCTCAATCTGTCCTGGATATTGTTCCCAAACAAGAAATAAACAACATGTGGTGAGTGGTAGAGCAATAAAAAAACTGATCAATGTAAATCATGTCAAGTCACAAGAAATCCAAATATCAAATCCAATACACAATACACAATACACAAAATGTATTGTCATGATGTTATTGGCCGATATTGGCTGCTCACAATATACTGGTATTGGTATTTATATTGACAGATGTGCAGATAGAAAATGCAGTAAAAATATTTTTACAGGCTACAGTTTTATGTCTTAATTCTTTACATTTAAATTCCTATGTAAAGGTATTATTTGCAGTACATCATTAGCATCATTTATTCACTGTCAAATCAATCTCAATCAATATCTGCCTCAAAAATCCCACATCAGTCTGGCTTTACCAAATACCAGATATTTATCACAGCATTTATTACAATGATGGAAAGACAGAATTATAATTGTGAGTATGAAGAAGTGCAGTTTTCACAGTAAAGCTCAATAACGCACCTGTCCCCATACAGTAATGGCTTGGTTAGACACTGTGTGCAGGCCTCGTGAAACCACTGACCGCAGCTTCCACACTGTAACATCTTTAGGTTCCACCTGCAATCCAACAAGAAAACAGGAAGACACTTTAAACACATGAATGAATTAATGTGTCTAACATCTGTCACCTGACAAGTCTGCATTTATGCATAATTTAGGAAGGCTGCGGGCTGATGAGCGCAGCTGCCTGACACTTCACGTTTCATAAGCTGAAATGTGTCTTCAGGTGTAAACTCCCACCGGGTCCAACCACTCATAAAGATATGGCGGCTGGGAGTTTGTTTTACTCTGCTTTAGATGCCAGACGAGTGGAGTTTGCCAGCCAACATCACTCAGATATCATTCCATGGAAGTCAAAACAAACTCAAAAAAAAAAAATCCTGCTAATGCTGTTTGACGCACGTCTGACTCGCTGCATGCAATTTACAAATAATCCACAAGACGACACTGACATAGATGAGATCAAGCGCTGAGAGAAAATGTCTACCATGAAAGAGCATACATGAACAGTACATTCAAACTCAAACTGGCCTCTGCAGTGTCACTCACTCTCCAGGTCCGGCACAGTAGCAGTAACACTGTTGCTGATTGGTCAGATGCTGCGGGTCCCAGTCTAAAGACGACAGCTGGTAAGGGAGTCGGAGTTTCATAAACTGCATGAGCCGGGCGAAGCGTCCCCGTTTGAGGGCCCCGCCTCTCTGAAAACACAATTTTAGGTTAGAGCTGATTGGTTGGTGACCCCTCAAATCGCTGTCATGTCAGAGCAGCGAGGGAGACGGATCGCATTCGTTGGGCAGAAGGCAATTCGTCTCATTTTATTGTAGGTCAGCTGTGAGAGATAGTGTCCGAGGCAGAGGAAGTCTGGACAATGAGATATGGACATTGACCGATTGACAATTAACTGGGTGCTTTCTCATCTCAAATCTACAGAACTGGAGCACATGTGATTGATTGACTTTAAATGTACTTCTCTCAACTTCAGCGCAGTTTTTCTGCCTCATAACTATTGATTGTTCATGATTTCTTGGACACAATGTAGAACATCTAATATTGAAGTCAATACTGAGGGAATTAGTGTGCTTTGCCTCAGATAAACCCATTACCTGCCGTACACAACAGTGTAGTGGCAGCGAAGCTTGATATATTTGACTGGATTTCTCCCTATGCCCCCCCCCCCAGTGCGAGACGGAGAGATTAGCAGTCTGACCTTGGTTGCAACTGCAAAGACACATTGCCGACATATCCACGAATCGCTGTCAGCTTCCGGTTCAATGGTTGGCGTGTGGCACTCTGGATGATAACCTGTAATGGGAGGAGGAGGCAGAGCGTTTAATTCGTGTTTACAAGACAGACAGCCGGAGTGACAATAATGGCAAAGCATCTCCATGTTTAGTGCTCTGCTGGTTTGTTTCAGCGACATGCAAAGTACTTTACTATACTATTTGCATCAGGAAGTATATTTGTCTGATTTTTCCGCAAAACAAACTGTCAGCAACCGTGTTCGCCTGACAGAGCTGCAACGACGTGACGGTAAAATCCGCTGCCAATTTCCTGCTTGTGCATCCTGGTGCTGAGCGAAACCTCTTCCCACTTGCACTTCAGTGTATTTCAGTTCACCACTTTTAAAGTCCTCCTCCACTCGAACAATGTGATTTGCTTGTTATTCCTTCGCTCGGACGTTTTACTCTCGCTGTGCAGGATTTTGTATGTGCAGAGTTTGACACCAGAGAGCTGTTTTCAAGTTCACCTGCTGAGGAGGGAAAGTTTTTTTCTTTTAAATCTGAGTTTAAGATGTGCACATAGGAACATGATTAACTTGTCTGGAAGCCAGTGCACATATTCTGAGAGTGGATTCTACAGTGAAGTAAGAGACTTCTTGTGTCCCACAGTCAAACTTTTGAAATGTAAAATATTTGCATATTCATAGATCTTGTATTTTTCAATGAAGGAGAAGGGGGAAGATGTAATTTTGATCATTTTTAAATATGACTTTCTTGTGGAAAAAGCACATCAGACACAAATTATTATTCCAAACTTCTAAAAGTATTTTTAGATGACGTGAAACATATCTGCAGGGGATCTTTAAATTAGTAATAAGTAAATACATCTTCTAAAGTCTATGAATAAAGTTCCCTCTATATCTCATCCATCTCCATCTCATTCATTTTCATTCTAGTCAGAATTCAGGTGCAACAACTCCTATCTATCATTTATGATAAAGTGTTTTCTTTTTTCTTTTTTTTTTTAAAGCAACACTGTTATTTACCATACGATGTCAAATCTTCAAGGTCAGTGCAGGAACGGTTGGAGAACCACCGTTTGACAGCGTATGATGAGGCGTGCTTCCTTACCGTGGCGACATTTAAGACAATTTATGAGGGGTTCTTTAAGAGGCGGAGCGTCACAAATACAGCAAACTTCTTCCACTCCAGCAGCAACTGAGGCAAACACAGAAAGACAGAGAGAGGCAGGGGAGGGGAGGAAGTAAATGTGTGAGAGGAAGACAGTGAGAGAGAGCAGTCAGTGGCATTAATTTATGTATATTGATTCACATCCTTGCCACCTCATTGATTTCAGTGTCTCCTGCACCCTTTCAGATTTCACTTCATTTGACAGGCGGATATTCAGCATGGTCCTAACAAGCGTCCAACTTCCACCCTTCGCTTGATGTTAGGTGGAAGTGGGGGCGCCATTTCCCTGAGGAGTCATTAGTCTAATAAATTCATAAATAGACTCTAATATACCAATTACATCTCAACGTGCCCCCATCAGGATACTCAGAGAACTCAGCATCATAACCTTGAACGTGACTGTGATCTCTTCTCTGCTTTTTTTCTTTTTTTTTTTCTTCATACAACAATTCAGAAATCCTGAGAAAAAAAATACAAAAAATACAAAAAATATGAAGTTTTAAGCTCCCAAGGGGAAAGAATCAGAAAAGTGTTCCTGCAACTCCTCAGGCAAAGTTTCAGAGTGGAAACCAGCACCTTTAGTGTGAGTTCAGCTGAGCATCCACGCATTCAGAAACCTCAAACTAGGTGCATTTTTTAACCCAAGATACACAAAGTGCCCCCAACAGGAAGCTATTTACTCTTCTAGCTGAGGGGGAGAGGGAGGGGAAAAAAAGAAAAAAGAAAAAAGAGTTCTTCTTACACGAGTGAATGTCCTTTCTCAGTACCCAGAACTCCGAGTTGTCCTCAAATCTCACCAGACAACATTGCTTGACTCCATCTACCTGAGAGGGAGATAGCAGGTGAGCGGAATGATTGACAAAACTAAATGGAAGTCTTTTCAAATCCAGGTGAAAACACACACACACACACACACACACACACACACTCTCTGACTCGCACAAACACACCGCATACGCACACTGAAAAGTCTCTTTCTGTCTCTCTCACTCACACACACACACACACACACACACACACTTCCACATGCACTTACTCTTTTCACATTGCCGAGGTACAGTAGTCCATCACTCCATCGAGCCAACACATCATCTCCTTCACTTACTCCCCCCATCCTGAGGAGAGAGACAGAGAGGGGAGAGGGGAGAGGGGGGGAAGAGAGAGGGGAGAGAGAGAGAGAGAGAGCAGGGCTCATGTGAAATGGAAATCCGATTTATTCGATGAATACTTTGCTGCCATTGCTGACAGAGGGGTTTATGGCCCCGGCGTTTCGGCTGGCTCTCAGACAGGCGGGCTTCGGTGCAAAGGGGTTAAAAAAAAAAAACCCCTTCGCATCCCCTCCTCCTCTTTTTAGACCAGAGCATAACGACAGCCTGTATCCACCACAGTGAAAGATGAGAGTGAGTACACAACCAGAGAGCAAGACAAATGATTACTGCACACATGAAACACACACACACACACAAATACACACACACACACACAACACTGCATGATGACTGCTGCAATACAGTTTGATTGAATGAACAAAGATCAGTGTGCAGCTACTTGAAGCATCTGCCTTGCACTTTGCTGTTGTCTTCTTCTCTCCCAACATCTTAAAAACTTGAATAGATGCATGAAATGACTGTGCAGGCATTATATCTGCACGTTGAGCATTTGTTCCAGTGCATGCACTCAAGTCAAGACAGACGCAGGATACATAACAGTGTATGTAGCCTTTTGTGAATCAAAAGCAAATCAGGCAAATTGTACAGTAAGCTGGCCGGTGAAGGGTACCTGTCAAGTCGAACTCCTTTCCGTCGGGGTCACAGTGATTCCTGGGCAGGCTGGACATGAAATGCCCTCATCTGCTGTGGATCTCCGCTGCCCAATTACTGCCCGCTCGGATGCGCAGCCTGCGTGTTTGCAAAAAGTGGATGATGTGCATGTATGTCCCTGTCTGTGCCAAGCGCCTGTGTGTGTCAGTCAAGCCGTCAGCGAGGAGGAGGTGGAGGAGGAGGAGGCGAAGGGGGGGGCGGGTTGGGGGGGGGGGCGACTGACTGTCCGTCCGTCTCTCAGCCTAGTTTGTCCGTCCTCCGCGATGCCGTTTCGTCATGTTCCCGTCGCTTTTGCTCTCTCCCCCCTCTCCCGCCCCCCTCTCCGCCACCACCTATTGATGCTATTAAAGCGGGTTTGTCAGAGCAGCACCGGAATCAAGCCGCCAGAGACGCCATCATCCCTGCCTCTCGCTCTCGACCGACTTGTTGTGACGCAGACATAAAACACCGAGATAGAGTGGGAGGGAGATAGTGATAGAAGGGGGGGATCCAGAGGTGGCGGGGGTTTAGGTGGCGGGGGTCCACGGAGAGAGCACCTTCCCGTCTGGGGAACTTACCCTAAATCGTTGTGACAAGGTGGGATTGTGATGTCTGGGAGCAGGAGGGAGGGATGGCGGTGCGCTAAAAGCCAGCGGAAGCAGCGCGCGCAGCTACAGGGGCCAATTAAGTGGCCAATTAGTGAGTTTAGCCGCCTCATTAATTGGTCTGTAACAAGAGGGACCAGCCAAGTTTAGAGAAACCCATGGAGAAAAGTTTTAAAACTGAGATGGCTGAGCAAACAGCGCACACATTTAAACTTGTATTTTTCAGAACGGATAATTATCCTCTGCCTCAACAAACTGGTTTTTGTCGTTGGTGTGTTTGCCGTCTTAATTAAAGGGAACATTTGAGGGATTATTGGACATTGTATTATCTCTTCCGATTAACAGCGTTAGAATTACACTATAAAATATATGACATCAAACTTACATGCACAATGAGGTATTGTGCATCCAAAAAACTCGCAAGATACTGTGATTTTTTTTTTGCACCGTTATAAATCAGTACAAGTTCATAATTTGTATTTTAACAAATCCTAAAATTTGCAGATTTGTAAAAACCTCTCCAGTGCTCTTCCTGCTGAAAGCCTACTCCGAGGTGGACAAATGCCACATCTGCAGGACAGATGTGGCATCTAGAGGTTCATTTCTTCTCACAGGACATCCGGGATGTAAATTAATGTGATGGAGAACAAACATGGCTCTGATTACATTACACCAACTTCAGTCATCTAACATGTTTGCCACGAACAGTCTGTTACTCTCAGCACAGTCTGAACAAACACACATCCAGTCGTAAACCACAAACGCACATTGTGGAATGTATATCAGGAAACAAACAGTATGACGGCTTTAAACAAAGACAAACACCGGACTGCTTTAAGAGAGCCGTCGACACGTCATTAGGTACTGAAATGATAAATTAAGCATATTCAAATTATACTCAGTGAAATTGCTTTAGGAGAATAACACGTTTTGCTCTTTTGGCTACGGGCACCTGCATCCAATCTAATTCAAGGCTCTGTTTGTTTATGTTTCCCTGTTCGTGTGTTTTCTTGTTTATGTCTTACACATTACTCACACCAGTCAGCCGTGTGGGTAACACCGCCGTGCGGTTCAAAATGGCCCCTGGCAGATTAAAAAGTGGTAAAGTGCCAATTTCCAACTGTAACCGCTAGGCGGCGACCAAATACAAGGACTACAACTGCACTGGCAGTCTGAGGGCTGTTCAGGGTCATTAGAGTCAGACTGAAGTTTGACACATGATATGATATGATATGATATGATATGATATGATATGATATGATATGATATGATATGATATGATATGATATGATATGATATGATATGATAGCCTGTGGGGAACCTCTCACAGCTCATAGCCAAGTGCAACCTGTGATGAGGGATCATAAGTAGCCATTGTTTTGCTATAAATGCCACAGTCCTACAGAATTTTACTCAGACTAATACATACTGTACATATCGTATATTTTCACACTGTATATATTGTGTATAGTGTTATAGGCAAATTGGAGCCTATGGGTCAAATCTGGCTCTTCAGCAAAAGCTAATGTCTGTCCTGCTGTAATTTGCATCAAATATTTGCATATTTTTTCACAAAGCTTCTGTAGGTTATGTGATACAGGGCTCAAGTAAATCTCATTAAACATGAAATTGTCCCATCTGATTATAATCAATGATTTGCAAGTGACTGTCAAGTCTTGTAGTGGAACACAGAAGAGTAATTTTTTGCAGAGTGAACATTAACATGAGCTGCTGCAACTCTAGCAAGGGACAAATCACATCTGCTGTTGGATACAATATTAAAACAGTTTAATGAATCTGTTTTACTTTTGTCAGACATAAAACATGCAAAAATGAAATCCCCCAAGAAAAAAATATCTCAGTACAGCTGTGTCTGTAAAACTCTGTTGGCCAATACTGAAAATAACTTGCCTGTGGATGAACCATATTGCTGAGCCCTGCTGTATACTAATCAAATCATTGTATTGTGCCTACTATGTATAGGTCCTGTTGTACATATCATAATTACACACTGACATATCATAACTGCTTTACATTTTAAATGTTACTTTATTTGTGTTGTACATATCACAGTTACAATCCTGTTTTCGATCACTACCCCACTGGCCGGTTGTTTTCTCTGTACAAGTTTATCTTTATATATACTGTATCTATATGTTATATGCTAAACTGTATTTTTTAGCACTGGCACATACAATAAAATTAAATCTAATAAGTCAAAAAAGTTGGGAAACATTGTGTTTTCCTGAACACACAGTACTCTTGGTGATCACAGTGACATGATGGCTGCAGTAGTCACTGACACACCTTTCATCCCAACAGTGGTGGTAGGCAGCAGCAACATGTGTAATGTCAGTCAATCCTCTGTCACAGCAGCCCCTCAGTGATAAGAGCATCAGCTAATTAATCAAAGATTGTTAAGAGAGTTAAGCATGACACTGTTCAGATTAGTGTGGTGATACACACACACACACACACACACACACACACACACACACACACACACACACACACACACACACACAGGTGAACTGTCAGTCAGCTGTGAAAAAATAATGTGGGTTTGAAACAAGTAAAATCAGTTCACTGTACTGAACACTGTAATGTTCAGATCATCTCTGCCGGTCACATTGTATGTACAGTCCCAATGGTCTAAGTGTCTCCGTCAAGTGTCGTTCCACCTGGACAGTTTAAAGGGTCCTGGTCTTAGATTCTCCAGGACAAGGACTCTTCCAGGACATATTCCCTCATTTGGTGTCTTGATGATGGTGGTGGATCCAAAATACCTCACAGGTGCTCACTTGGTGATTGTGAAATCCACAGTGCATGAGTCAAATCATTTCCTTACTCATCATCAAACTATTCAGTGACGCCTGATGTGTCCTGTATGGCAGCATCTGATTTATTTGTGTTTGCTTTTTGCATTTAATTTGTCACCTGTCTGTACACTACAGAGTGATGACATTTTAACGCATCTTGAAAAGTACGGTTTGTGAAACCAGTTGTGTAATGTCTTCTGTGACTCTGCGAGAAGCTTTCCAGTGTTTGGAAAGGACCCTGATGATGTCATCAGGGTTACCTCAGCTTGGGTTTGGGCCAAGAAGCTTGCAGGTGTGTTCAAGAGAAGGCAGGCAATGAAAGATGCCAATGAGTTGGATATCAGGATATATCGGCCTCTGTTGCTTCCTTGACCTTTAATCTCTTGCGAGTCCCTTTATGGAAGTGCATTACTAAAGTGCTGTTGACTGGAGATTAGGTTTGGGATTAATAAAAATGAGGATTAGGATTAATTTAGTTCAGGATTAAACCTTGACTTTAGGTCTAGGATTACAAAAGAGTCAAAGGTTTATTTGTCACATACAAAAACAACATGTGAGGTGTCGCATACTCAAAAAGCTGTGCTAAAAGATGAGTGTTATAAAAAGATAAAATAAATAAAGGAAAAAAAATCAAGATAAAAATATAAATGTTAGTATAAATTAGTAATTTACAATTAATCCATAATAGTGTATATTTAATCACATTATCATTTTAAAACCTCACCTAAAACCCTGAAGATGCACCTGTTTCCTCATCAGCCTGCTCTACTTCTCTGGTCTGCTGCTGTTCCAGCAAACAAAATAATTCATTGATGGAGACATTTTCATGGGATTTCTCAACAGAAAAACTAAAACTAAAGTCATACAATCTAATAATTCATGAGCCCATAA